TACTAAGCAGCGAGAATATGGTGACCAAATTGGTGAACAGTACTCCAAAAGCGGTCTAACATAAGCCGTAAAGAGCAGGAAGAGCGTTCTTGTGTGCCTCATAGAAAACGCGCGCAAAATAAAATTCGAACGTGCTTTGGCTAGATGGATAGAGCTTTTTATATAGTCTTCAAAAGAAAGAGCCTTGTCATACTTTATACCGAGATCCCTGACTAACGAAGGCTCCTCAATTCTAATCTCATTGAGAGTGAAGTCTATGTTCGATATGCATCCTCTCTTCGGCACTGCCGCTGGCGTACGCTGGAAGCGCTACGCTACGCTGCCGCAAAGTATAAACGCAGCCTTAACTTCACCTATCCGGGTCTTAGTCTTCCATCCTGACCATCCTGGACCAGTGAACACCATCCCCTCACAATTTCCAGTCATTCTGCCACAAAACGGAGTGCAGGTCGCTTTCTTCGCTGTTCTGAAGCAAACTCCAACTACGAGCTCATGGTTCCCGTATTCGGGGTTAGTCTATTTCAGGCAGAGGGGTACGCAACAGCTCGTTGGGCACATGTGAAACGGAAAAAGCGAGGAAAATACGACCCCCCCCCACCAATTCTTAGATTTTCCCCAACTTCCCGCCCCTTTTTCCAAAATTTTCCTACTTTTTCCCAAAAACTTTGCTGTCGAGCGGGGAGGGGTTGGAAGCGGCGGGGTATATAGTATATACGAAACAGGAGAATCACGAAACCATCACTCCTAGAAGGTCAGAAAGTAAATACGGCCGAACCCTCTCAACGAATGAGCAAGTAAGACTCCCCTTTTTTTACAACGTCCGTGAAGCGAGAAAAATCAACTATCAAAATAAATTTTTCTCAGCCTAAATACGAGCCCGCCCCCTCTCCCGGCGATCGAAAACGACACCCTGTTGGGAATCCCCAACAAGTGCCCTGTGCAAAGTGGAAATTACTCATCGCATCTATTGTTCAAGTATGTGAATGGAGAAGGGAAAGGCAGAAGAACGAAAAGGAGGGAAAAAAGAGGAAAGGAATAAGGGGGAACCGAGGATTCGCCTGTTGAGAAGTATCTTTAGACGGGAGTCTATGTCCGTTTCCGTAACTCCAGTTACAAAGATATTCACGCTGCCGCGTGCCTTGACCCGCCTCCCCCCTCCTCCTCCCGCCCCAGACATGTGAAGCCTAAACGTTGTTACAGATGTCTGGACGTGCGAGAAATGTTTACAGTTCTATTTATTTGCAACAAGGAGTCCGTTTCGATTGCCAAATAACTGTGCATTGCGTTGAATATCAATATAAAGCCATAGAAGCATTCTTATGCTTCCACGGCTTCGTTTGAAGGCACAAAGCACGATAGTTTGGCACGTGCTGAAAAATAGTAGCTTGGTGCTATGAAGTGGGGGGTAACAAAAAAAGCGAACCTTAATCCTGCGAATCCTGCGAAAAAGCCTTTGTTCTGCAGACACTGGTAGAGCATTTGGATGGGTTCCCCTTTGGCATCGTTCCATCAGCCGCTTTGATTGATACGGCTGCACGTTCATATTCATATTTCCATGCAGCAATGCTTCATATCAGTTGAACCTCATAAATGAAGCGATAAGAGTAGTGCCGTCTATGTGACTGGTCGGACATTTGTGGGCGGGCGGTTGTGATGGGCATTCGCATCGACATGTTGCGGCTTGATAAGGCGCTATAAAGGCCCATTCTTTGAAAAAAGATGTCTTGCAGTGCCTGCTAAGAGGCGCCAAGTTTGTCCTGCTAAATGTGTTTCTCCTCCACAGTTTGAGGATCTATCGTGCTGCTTGCTTTTAAGCAGTTACTTCCGTTGGTCAACGCTAGTCAATTGAGTTCTTTCCTCTTCCCGAATGACTCCGCTACCAATTAACCAGTGCTGTGCAGATGGAAGTATGTATGTCTCGGCCTGGGCGGTTTCGGTCACTGCCCCGTGAGGTGCGATGCCTTTTGTCTATAGAAACAGTGCCACCTCCGTCGAAACTGATGATAAAAAGGACAAACATGTGAATCGTTCGTCTTTTATTACATTCGTGCCTTTGTGAGGCAGCACCTTTTTTCTCGTCATTTCTTTAGCAGTCAAGGAGAATGTTCTGTAAAATCCCCCCCCCATGCTGAGGAACAAATGCTCATCGACACCATGCTTGACTCCTCAGAATTCTTTTGCGGTGCTCGACCCTGTTTAGCGAGTGAACGAGTTTAGCGTGTCATGCTGTTAGCATGGGCTTAGAAATGGCGAAAAACAGCGGAAGTCACTGAGCAGTTCCCTTTGAATCAATATCCTCATTCAATTGAGCCTAACCTAATCATTCCCTTTAGACGATGTTTTTTCGCTTTTTTTCTGTCGGCCACTAGATATGCCCATACGCTTTCCAAATCATCTATTAGAAAGAAGTGTGTGGGCGGTCCCGTCCACGCGCTTAGCGCCTTCAATTAAAGTAAGTTACATTGAACTTCCCTCTAGTAATTATGTTGCGCTTCCACATATGGGGAAAATCTCGGTTGTCCAAAAATATGCTTAAATTGGCGCAGTTCGCGTTTGGGGGTGGGGGGAGGGGGTGGTCAGATGTTTCGCACTTCGCTGCTTCGCTAGTCGCTTTACAAGTCTCCCTCTGGTGAAACCTGGACTCTTGTGAATCTGGAGCAAACTCGTCTTGCCACCATGGTAGAACCAGTGCAATACCCCCTCCCTCCGTCGCTCAACTGCCGTCTAAGGTTTTTTGTGCTAGTATTGTATTTGGCAAAACCACCATCGAGGTTGCTGTAGCTGTGCAACCCCTGCACATGCTTTTTATGGTTTCAGTTTTTGTTGGAATAGTCTTCAGGTGCAGTTCGACGGCAGGGAGGGGCATTTTGGACTTTCGCCACTTCCCATCGGCCTGTTGACCTATCTAGGCAGCCTCTTTTCGTATTGGCAGGTTTTACTGTGATGGCTAGATGAGCTTGCTCCAGCTTCACAAGAGTTCACAGGTTTCGCCAGAGTGAGACTTGTAAACCAGAACTAGGGAAGCAATGATAGTACAAAATGCCCCCTCCCCGTGTCAAACTGCGCCTAATCTTCATCGCTTTCTGCCGCTCGATTTTCCTTGCGATGGTCCTTAATGGCTTGTTGTGATTCACTGCTTCGTGGAATTCCCGGATTAGTTTCCAAATATTGATGGCATTCCAATAGCCCTTCTAAGCTCGATATAGTTCGCTTTGCTGCACAGTTGGTCACTGTCGTTTACAACGACTTCTGGCCGCTTTCTCCTGGTTCTCCGTATTTGGCTTTGGCGCAGTTCGGCTTGGTGGGGGGGTCTCAGTTAAGCATGTGCAGGCCACCTTATGAAAACTGCTAATTCTGGTAATCAGAGTGGCTCACTTGTACCGTTTTACAGCTTTCGTGGGAGGTAATTCTGACCAAGGTGCGGTTTGTTCGTTAACAACAACTAACAAAAGGAATCAGCAAAAGTGCGAAATGCCCCTCTAAGCCAAACATCGGCTTGGCTTTCTCTGATGATATGATGTTGCTCAATAGAAGGATCTTTTGGTGTGCGACATGGGTTAGCCTGCAGCAATACAAGTGTGCTCCTCTAATCGAAACAGAGATTTTCTGCACCTTAAGGAGATTTTTTGCAAACTTTGACCCCCCCCCCAAATCTCCCTCTCCGGTACGTACCCCTTTCGCAAGCCACCTCGCTGATGCCTATCCATTTATCCCCACAGTTCTGCGGTCGAGCGGAATGGGTAGTATACAGCGCGCGTGATCGAGGAAAATTTCTTTAAGGTGAAACACGGCCCCTCCCTAGCGGCAAAATACGAGGGGGTCGCCTAGTCATTATCAGGTTATTGAGATGTTTTCAGGTGAATACGACCACTGCAGCTACAACCACAACAACGACCGCAGCTACCACTGCTATGCCAGTGACAACTACCGGTGTTGTTACTACTACAGGTACCTTATTTACTGACCGGTATTTGGTGATTAGTTATTAATTAGATTTGTTGATCTCATCGTTCAGGATTCTCTAGTTTTTAACCCATTGCGTACCGCGTGCTGCACCATGTGCAGCACGCTCATTCGTCGCTGTATGGCCGCGTGCTGCACATGGTGCAGCACGATGATTTTTCCGCTCCATCTGGATTATTTTGCATCCTTTTCTGCTACAAAGTTGCGAGCATATGTTTTCGACACGGAGAACAACATAAGTACGTGGGACCTCGATCGCTGAAGGAGCACTTGGGTTATTGACCTCTTTCATGAAATACTTCATTGCGATCTTCTTCATTTATTTTCAACGTTCATAAACACTCATAAAGGATTAAACAGGACACCGTTGATGATATGTGTGGAAACACTTAATGCAGAAGTATGAAAATTGCTGCGAACGACTCACTAAACACCTTTCTTGTCGACCAGTAATCTCTGAGGTTTGACCTGATTTCCAGTCCCATTTGGAAACAAATCGTCAAAAACTTCGGTAGTTCGCCCTCGTCGAAATTGATCCAGTTTGAGTACTTTGCGATAGCATAACGATTGGTTTCTCTTACAATCAAATCAACGAGATCGTTTGTGGTCAAAATTGTTCTGCCTGCTGATATTTGAGCTCCATTGAACCCATCCCATATCTAAGCCTTCTTCGCTTATTCGAACTCATCACTTGAATGATTCACGCGGACTTCTGGGGTGAGGGTCCTGTTTCATCATTGTCATCACTTTCAATCAGAAGTTACAAACGATCATTTCAGAGCGTCCATCATTGCCTATCTGGAACGGCTGCCTTAAATTAGGCGCAGTTTCTTAAAAAAGCCTGGAGAAGCGAAACGACCTATGTTGAGTTTATACTTCCGCTGCGGGCGCGAGAAATACCGCTCTGCGTGGCCGCGTGCTGCACCATGTGCAGCACGCCGGCGAGGTTGCGAAATATGGCTCGGGCACACGCGGCAGCCAGCGAAAAAACGCCGCGGGGTACGCAATGCAGTGGACACATCGTTGGTTGGGGAATCCCCAACGGGGGGGGGGGTCGTATTTGGCCGCCAGGAGAGGGGGGGGGTCGTAGTGAGTGCGGCAGCCAGTAACGAGCAGCGCAAATTGTCAATGTGCTGAGTCCTGTACAACGAAACTTGCTTTGTAGAGAACTCGGATATGCAAAAAATAGTACAAAACTTTCATTCATCAAACTAATCCGAAATAACTGCAAATATTAATAAGTCGACATTATCTCGTAAGTCCGTTGGTGACTAAACAGTACAACTCAAACTCTGGTTCGCTGCCAATGATATGGCGTGTCCGCGGTCGCGCTTGGCGCTGAGCCAACCTGTTTTTTCTCGACAAGCGACAGGACTACCATATCGTTCATATCAGACGTTTTCCAGCAGTTGGTCTCCTTTATCGGAGTCAGCGATTGGCGGAGCACGAATCTGGCAGCGTTGACAGGGACATGTTCCATCATACGCAACGGAAAACACTGTAAACAAGTGCACAGGCTCGCCATGGACCTCCCTGAACCTTATAGACACATTTGCTCGCGTGAACAGACATTACGCACAAGTTGCACCATCCCATCACCTCTGCGCGGCCCTCAGTGCGCGGCGCATCCAAAGTTGGCGTGATCGGCGCTAAACGAACCATATCCTGCTCCTGCTCCACCACAGGATACGTTCTACATGCGTTCCTGGCTATTCGAACACGCTCACTTGAAACGGTACACAGGAAACGGGTTTTTCGCGCAGCTGGGAGTGTTCCTCAAGAAATCCCCATAGCGAGATCTCATGAATCCCGAGAGCTTCAGAAACAGTTCAAGAGGTTTTTAGAAAGAGAAAATCTTCAAACACTCGAAACCGTTCTCAGATTTGTGAAATGTTGAGTTAAAAAATATATTGATTCAAACCTGTTCGGTTGAAATCACTCCCCAACGAATCCCTATGGCAGATTTCTCTGTGATTTTTGCGACGTTCATAAACGTTTTAGTACTTTTAGGAAGTGCAAACCTTCCTCTACACGAGTACGGTCTCCTCTTCCCCACAGGTCCGCTTTTGAGGAAGTTATGGTCCTTCAAAGACACCTACTCAGCTGGAAATTCTCGCTCCATGGCTAAAATTGCCGAATAATCTCCAGTCACAGCCGCAATTACATGCGCTTCTGCTACCGTACTCCAATAATCGGGGTAATGCATTTTTACGGCGGTTTGTATAACTGTTACGTAGTGAGACAAGCCTAACTTTCTCTTTTCCTCGTCCTCAATCTTGGGAATAGACGTTGTTAACACTGTGGTCGCTGATGGCCGCTCCCAGAGAGGGAGTCCACCTCAGGTTAACGAATGCTCATTGAATTTAATCGCGATATATCGTTATTATAGGTTGGAAAGAAAGTCCTGTCAGTGTTTTTTAGATAGCCTACAGTTTTTGATCTTCGAAGCTCGAACATGACGTAACATGCTAAGGTTGTAGAACATTCTCGAAGCTTTTCCACAAGAGGTATATCAAGGCTCCTGCTCTTCCCTGTGTTTATTTATGATGTCAGTTTCACTGGAGCAGCTTCGAGTGATCATCTTCTATGAGTGGCGCCGCGGCACTGGAGCGACGCAGCGGCCCGTAACATCAACTGTGCATTGGGGGAGGACACCACCACCGTCAGGACTGTCCACCGTTGGTTCGCTCGCTTCGCGAAAGGAGAGACGATCTTCGAAGACAAACCTCGTCTGGGACGCCCTCGCGGCGTAGAAGATTCCGCCGTTCTCGAACCTGTCAGAGAGGATCCAGAGGCTACCACGCGCAGTATTGCGACAAGGCTAGGGTGTAGCCATACAACAGCTCTAAGCCGCCTTCAGGCCCTTGGCTACAGAAAAGTCCTCACGCGATGGATACCTCATGCTCTAACAGATGGCACGCGGTATGCCAGGGTGAGCATCTGTCGATCCCTCCTTCTACACCGTAACCGGAAGGAGTTTCTGGAAGATATTGTGACTGGAGATGAAAGCTGGGTCCTCTATGATTCCAACCTACGTCGTGCCATGTGGCTCCCTCGAGGAGAAGACCCGCCTACGCAACCCAGATCGAACCTGCACTCCAAGAAGGTCCTCCTCTGCTGCTTCTGGGATTCGAAGGGCATGCTGCACCACGAGCTGCTTCCGCAAGGGCATACGGTTACCGCTACCGTTTACGCCGCCCAACTCCAGAAACTCGCGCAAGCTCTTCGAGAAAAGCGGCCGAGACGAGCTTCGGTGCACCTCCTCCATGATAACGCCAGACCACATGTGGCTAAGAGACCCACCCCAAATTGAGGAGCTAGGCTGGGAGACCGTTCCCCATCCACCATATTCTCCAGACCTAGCCCCCTCCGACTACTACTTGTTCCGCTCCCTCAAGGCTTTCCTAGGTAAGAAAACCTTCAGCGAATTTGATGGCATCAATCGAGAAGTTGCCTACTTCTTCGACTCGCAGCCTCCTCAGTTCTGGGAGAAGGGGATAGCTGAGTTGGCCCATTAGGTGGAGCACTGTAGTGGCTAACAATGGCGATTATATTATTGATTAGTTTTTATTTCATGTTGAGTTAGAAAATAAAAAAGAAAAAAATCACAACAGTGACAGGACTTTCTTTCCAACCTATATATAGATTACCATGTGTGTTTCAAAACGGCCATCGAAGAAGTTCATCATACGAGTTTCTCATAATACGATTGTACCGTTTTTTGTTTGCAATCATCTCTGTATTGTTCTATTATGTCATGACTTCAAGTCGTCCATTTAGTATGGGCACCTTCATACAAGTAGAATTTCATAGTGGGCGTTTCATAGTTTCATTTAAGGCGAAAAAAACCGAACGGCAAAAAAGGGGGGGTCGTACCGAACCCCCAAAAAAAAGGGGGGGGGTCGTACAGGCTCGACCAAAATTGTACGCAATGGGTTAAATGGTTTTCAAAGATAGGTTGGCGCAGTTCGGCTTAATGGGGGGGGGGGGACCAAATGATACCCCGGAGAAATTTAGTTTGGAAAACGCGTACTAGAATTAATGCACACGGCATTCAAAGTATTAGGTTGGAAGGAAAGTTCTGTCAGTGTTTTTTGAAAGGCCTACACTTTTCGGTTCTTGATTCGAACATGCGTAACATGTCATGCTTGTAGAACATTCTAGGAGCTTTCCTGCAAGAGGTGTGTGAGGGCGCCTGCTCTTTCCTGGGTCTAATTACGATGTCAGTTTCACAGGAGCATCTTCGGGTCATCATGTTCTATCAGTGGCCCCGCGGCACTGGAGCAGCGGCAGCTGTCCGCAACATCAGCAGTGCATTGGCGGAGGACACCACTACCATCATGACTGTCCATCTTTGGTTCGCTCGCTTCGCGAAAGGAGACACGACCCTCGAAGACAAACCTCGGTTGGGACGGCCCCACGGAGTGGAAGACTCCACCATTCTCGAAGCAGTCAAGGAGGATCCGGAGGCTACCACCCGCAGTCTTGCGACAAGACTCGGATGTACCTAACTGACAGTCGCCTGCGCCTGTAAGCCCCTAGCTATCGAAAAGTACTGACACGTTGGATCACTCGTGCCTTGACCGAAAGCACGTTATGCAGCCGGGTATCCCTTGATCATCCTCCTCTCCACCCTTGTCAAAAGGAGTTTCTAAGAGACTGCTTAGTGGAGATGACAGATGGGTCCTCTGTGATTTCAACCCACACAGTACCGTGTGTCTCTCTCAAGGAGAAGACCCATCCTAGCAGTCCAAACCGGGCATGATTCCGAGAAGGTTCTTCTGTACTGCTTCTAAGACGCGAGGGGAATGCTGCACAACAAGCTGCCCATATGAGACACGGTCATCGCTACCATTTGTATCGCTCAGCTCCTGAAACCGGTGGAAATTGTTGGAGAAAAATGACCGAGACTAGCTTCGGGGCACCTCTTTCGTAGTACGCGAGACCCCATACCTGCTATGGAGACCTACCAAATAATTGAGGAGCAAGGCTGGGAGACCAGTTCCCGCTCATCATATTCTCGTGGGTAGTCCCCTAAACTGCTACCTGCTCCGCCTCCTTAGGGCTTTCTTAGCTAAGAAAACTTTCAGCAACTTTGATGACATCAGTCGAGAGGCCGCCGACTTACTCTACTCGCAGCCTCCTCCGTAATGGGAGGAGGGGAGTGCCCACCAGTCCATTAGGTGGAACACTGTAGTGGCTAACTATGACGAGTATATTGTTGACTAATTCCCACTGTATGTTGAGTTAGAAAATAAAAGAAAAAAGTCTCAACAGTGACAAGACTTTCCTTCCAACCTTTATTAAAGGCAGTTGGCACGATGGTTTCCTACTTAGCCTAAAATGCTAGTAGGGCGCTGTATAGTGGGGAAATGGCGAAAGAACGGAGTGAAACGGTCAAAATCCGGCGAAGAAAAAGCCTCCGTTCTCAGTGACTTGTAAATCGATTTCGGACGAGTTTCCCGTACGCATCTTGCCAATCACCGCTACCGAAGATACGGCTGCATATGTGTACCCATATATGCATGCAGCATCACCGCCGCTTCATACCAATCCCTTTGCTTCATAATTTGCTCAGCAAATGAATGAATACGAGCGTCAGAAACGGTCGTCCGTTTGTGGGCGGGCGGGCAAGGAAGGCGTTTGGACGTTGCTCAATAGGGCGTTATAGAGGTACCCTCCTTGGAAAAGGCTTCACGCAGCGCCTGTCCGAGGTCACGGAATTCTGTTAAGCCAGTTGTACAAATCCTACACCTGTATAGCGATTTATCGTGCCAACTGCCTTTAACGATGGGTAGGACTAGTACAATATCGAAGAATGGACTCCAGGTCCTTAGGATAGTCGATATCCTTTCCTCTAGTGCACTTACACATGGCTGTACGACCCTCTTTCCTTATTTACCCCCCCCTGTTGCTACCCGCCTACTATCCTTCAAGTTTCTCGATTTTCTACCCTTCCGAAATCCCCAGAAAATTTTCCAGTGGAAAAGATTTTCTCTAGGTTTGGTGCAACTCCCCTTCGCGAGGCGAGTAGTAGTGGCGATGTGTGTTACTATCTTTTCTTTGTCGTAAAATACTAGCTTTTCGAAACTGCATTGAAAATGCCATGTTTAGCACATAGCAAACCACCCTACTGCGACGTCCACATTATTTCGTCGCTTTCTACGTAGATAAGTAGCAACATCACCCGTTTTTTTCAGTTTCATATAAAATATGTGGGTTCCCTGTCCGAAAAGGTATCCTGATAACTAAGCAGCATAAGCACGACATAGTTACTAAATAGATCATATAAAACAGCGCAGAGAGGGCAATGTATGACACACCATGTGTCATACAACGCCGAACGCGTTAATGTTGTCGGGATGACCAATGACTGTTTTAATTTCAGCGTCAAAATTAACGACGTTAGTTCCATTACCCGATGGATCTTCTTCGTCCGGACTAATCTTCCTGTCAATGGTCCTATTTATAGTAGCGGTAGCAGTTATTGCGAAGATTATCTACAGTAACAGGAAGAGATCGTGAGTTGTCATTTTGTGTTTGCCCCCCCCCCCCGTGCCCTCTTGTTTCCTTAACCCACTGACCCATGGCTATATTCCTTTTGTAGGTTGCGTAGGGCATGCGATTTTTCGCTATTGTCTAGGCGTCAGTAGGGTGATCGCAAGGCTAAAAGAAATGGAACTTAATGCAGGAACTGTGAAGGCTTTACTGGTTTAGATTGCTCTGAATACAAAAAAAAATCTTCATGAATTTCTAGGTATGGTTAAGGGGGGGGGGGGGCTTCAAACAGGAACCTCGTAGCCGGAGTCTGTGAACGTGGATCTCTGACCCCTTCCTGTCAGAAGTTGCCAGGAGACAGCAAGCTTACATGGTACGGGAGGGCAGTGCTCTGGATGCGGTTCCTTGGGCCAGTTATCACCAAGCTGTATTGAAGACAAGCAAAAAATGCAGCAACAACATTGAAAAGAGCAAGCAAGCAGTGGTAGGAGACGAGCTGGCACCGCCTCCAAATCCAGGCGCCCGCCTCCCCAAACCTTGGCACGCCCCAGCATTTGCAAAAACGGAAACCATAGAGGATAGCGCTAAAGGTCATGATCCACCGGTGCCCACCCACGGCTGCTTCACCCAATGGCAGTTTTTCTTGAAGTCACTTTTTTTTAAGGCCGATCACCATTTGGTGGCGGTCTAACTCCGCCTCACCCGGCAACGCCCCTCCTGTCACCGCCCCGTCTGTTAGTGACCTTATCAACTATGTGCTCTATTCTCTTATTATAGGCGAAGTGACCTAATTGGCGGTACTGCCCGTTGGAGATTAGCTGCATCACAGCAAAGTGGAACAGGACCTCAACAGACCGCTGCCAGTTATGCTCCCATGGATGGGAACGAGGCCAGCGAATGGCACGAAAAAAAAAACCGGGGGGGGGGGGGACTAGATACCCCAGGTCCTGATAGGCTTGACTGGGAACGCCAATTCTTTGATGACACGGAGGCCACGGTATGTTTTGCGAATTCAGTTGCCTAATGTGACATGTGGAGAGGAAAGTGGAAAGATGACAGATGTCTCGGTGCAGATGTATCTTGGTTTGCGAAGTTTTTTTTATTTTTATTAGCGCTTGAGCGTTAATGTGAACGGTTATGAAAAGAAAGCTGATCTTTTAATTAAGTTTTCGATGGTTGTGAAGTGATTGTATGATATGGTGTATGTGTAAAAAGACTCAGTTTGGCTTAGTGGGGGCATTTTGCTATTTCCCATCAATCATTGCTGGTGCTTTCCGTGAGACCTGTAAATTCCTAATTCCTAGACAGCAGCATGTGCTTCGTCTACATCTGACAAGAATTCACATGTTCTACCAAGGGAAACGTGTAATTTAACAAAAACCAACGAAACCAGTGAAGTGCAAAAAGTGCCCTCCCAAAAACCCCATTATCTTCCCATCAGAAAATATCGAGAGCGCCTGAATTTTGCACATCGGCTTATTTCCATTCGTGAACGATTGATCCCCTCGAGTTTCCCCAACCAGTCACCCGTTTTTATTTATTCTTCAGTGACCTGGTTTGGTGCTACCAGACATTTCTTTGCAAGTTTCACTTTTATGGTAGCCCAGAAATCGGTGTGTACTTTAATTGGTTGATAGCTTCAGCCGGATCTCATAATGTGCGTCAGTTGTCAACTTAAAACTGTCGGTCGATACCATTGTGATATCATGTGATATCATCATGATAATAAAATAAAATAAATAAATGTGCTGGTTGTCGTAGGTGAGCCACCTATATCAATCATCAGTAGGACTCAAAGGCACATTTGGCGCTAATTTGAAGGGCGGAGCCTGGGTGGAGATTCGCTCCCTTTCTTTACTCGCCGATGCGCTATTCCTCTGCAGGCATCGCAAGAAGTGGCGTAACAATGAAGACGGTAGTACAAGTGTGAGTCCTCCTCCTATTTACTCCAACCCTTTGGATTAGAGCGGCTATGGTACTGTTGTTGGAGCGAAGTGGTAACTAACTCTGACTCGATATAACAGTGCTTATGGAGAATTCTTGGCCGAAAAGACAGTTGCATGAACTGCCAGAGCTTACGTTTTAGACTTCTAAAGGGCTTTTTTAATGGTCCACTTACTCTCGCTACCAGCTGGATCTCAGCGCACTTGAAACCTTTCAGCGATGAATGCTGTCGGCGGCACGGCAATGTATGGATTACATCAACTATTCTCTGTGATTTTCTTTTCAGATTATCCTCCAAATACTTTATCATTAAGCGTAGTAACGCCAATTGTGTTGTAATTGTGTTCGTGTTGAAGGAACTCGGGTATCACACGAAAGTTTGCTTGAATTCCTATTGCCGTAGTATTATATGAGGGTTCCCTTGTGTGACTGCTAATATTATACGTATACTTTTTCACAATTCTTCTGTTGGAACTCTGCTCTTATAGAGCGTATTGATTGGTTTTTTCGATTATTCCCTTTCACGACGTCTTTTTTTCCAAGCTTTTCCAAGTTTATTAGCTTTAAGTTTCTGGAAAAGTTTATCTGTGAAATTTCTTTCAAAATCAAAATGAGGGGTGTCATCCGAAAGATCAACTCAGTGGCAGTGTACGGGCCCTTTTTCAGGAATCATTCCTATTGGCAGACGAACAGCAGTGGAAAATAGCAGCTAGAAGTAGATCAAATCAGACATTGATGGTTGGGTAATGTACAATTTCTCTGCGATAGAAGACGCGTTTATACTTCTGGCCTCGAGTGCCTCTGTCGCATGATTCCCGTATAAGTGGGGTTGAGGCGCTCCAACGCTAATCATTGGACAGTTGCAACTATTAATCGGAGTTGTAGTGGTCCAACGATTAGCGGTGGAGCGCGGTTGCGTCATACGGGAATCACGCGACTGAGACGCTCGAGACGGAAGGTATGAACGCGGTTCCATGCTGCAGAGGAATTGCACAATGCACGAATTACAAATTGATTTGATCTGCTTCCAAGTGCGTTCTATGTGTTGCCGTTCTATAGCTCGTGCGAATAAGGGGGATTATTCTCCGGCTGGATCCCTGCGCGACAGTTGGGCTACATAGTAGTGCTGCAAAACGGGAACGACCGGAACACTATGGCAAGTCCGCCTGAGTGTATATGGCCCGCTGGTTTTTTGGATGACACTGCAGAGAAGTTCCATTTTCCCGAAATGGTGGTTGGTGGTATGATCCGGTACCAGTGTAGCTCGGAAGTATGGGGGGGGCATCTGGCGAAGGGACTGCCCTCTTACCACTCTGGAGCTCAGTGGAGCGTAGACAGCGCTTACCAACCAACCTCTGATTTTTTGAAGTTCTTCCAGTGAAGCGTGAGAATTGCCAAAGAATTGTATTTCGTTCACCTTTTCATTTCATCCCAATATATTTTTCTTGTACTTTTTCCTATGAAATGAACTGAAGAGGTTCTTATCATCTGTTATCAGTCTGTGATCAAATTCTATTGCTGAATATGTGGTAGCAGCTACGGTATACTGTAGAGGCAAGATATGTCTGTTATTTAGAATGTTGTATGCATAATAAACATGATATAGTGTTTGTTTGTGACAACATAGTGGTTCTTTTGTTTCAGCTCAGTTTCGCTTCGTTCCTAGCATCCCTGATATTTCTTTCTGAAGTTATTCGCAAGCCTCTATATACATCTGGTTAGACACAGTTTAAGGCATGTGGCACGATAATCTGGCAGTTCGGTCTAAAACGCTAGCAGGGTGCTATATAGAGGGGGAAAATGGCAAAAGAACGAAGTGAAACGGTCGAAACTTGCAAGGGAAAAGCCTTCGTTCTCCATGAGAAAAAAATTTCGGACGAGTTTCCCGTAGGCATCTTGCCAGTAACCGCTACAGTAGATACGGCTGCACGTATGTACTCATATATCCATGCAGCACCGCAGCCGCTTCATATCAATCCCTTCGCTTCATATTTTTTACTTCGCAAATGAATCAATACGAGCGGCAGGAACTGTCGTCCATTTGTGGGCGGGCGGGCGTGGTGGCCGTTCAGGTCGGCATGTTGCAGCTTGATAAGGCCTTATAACAGGGCCAAACTTCCTTGGACAGGGCGTTACACAGCGCCTGCTCAGATCCGCGAAATTCCGTCCTGCCAGCCGTATTATCCTACTCGTCTTGGGGATTTATCGTGCCGACTGCCTTTAAGAGCAAAGCAGTGCTGGATTGGATCGAAAAGATTTACGCCTTTAAGAGCAAAGCGGAGCTACGGCGGGGAGGAGGGGGTTGCACTTTCGCTAGTTTCTGTTGATGGTCTTGGTAAAAACTCAGCTCCTGTAAAGTGTGAACGAAGTGCTATTGCTCAGCTCAACAATATTTTACGGGGTTCTACAGGAGACATTGGCAGAGATCGATGGAATCAGCAAAATGCCTCCGAAGAACCAAGCTGCGCTGGTTTATTCTACCCAAAAACCGTCTAATCTGCCATGCGGCGCTGTTCAGCGACGGGGAGGACATTTTATACTATCGTTGCTTCCTTAGTTTCGGTTTACAAGTCTCACTCTGGCGGAACCTGTGAACCCTTGTGAAGCTGGAGCAAGGTCATCAAGCCATCATGTTAGAACCTGTCAACCAGAGAAGACGCTGTCTAGATAGTCTAGATAGGTCGACACGTCGATGGGAAGCAGCAAAAGTGATACTCCCCCCCCCCGCCGCCGAACTGCGCCCTGCCATGCTATCTCTCATCTGGAAATCGTCACTTTTTGCAAATTAAGAAAGCGAAATCTGCTAGATTTCAAGCTGAGGATAACAAGTTGCACAGAGTATCCTAAAAGTGGGCGTGAACTTGAATGCCCCGGGCCCCGTGAACGCAAAGAATCGTATATACTGCCATCCCTGCTT